TGAAGGACAGTAGGTTCATATTGGATATTAGGAGGAAATTCTTCCCTGTGAGGCCCTGGCAAGGGAAGCTGTGGCTACCCCATCCCTGGGAGTGTCCATGATCAGGCTTGGAGAAACCTGGGCTGGTGTAAGGGAGAGGAACGAGATGGTCTCGCAGTCCCCTTCCCACCCGAACGCTTCTGTGACTCTCTAGACCACACTGTGCTGCTCCACCCGCTCGCATCCCCGCCGCTCCCCGAGCCCGCAGCGCCAGCGCGGGGCCGGGCGCCATGGCGGGGCGGGCAGCGCTGAGGCGGCGCTGAGGGGGCCGGGCGGGAGCCCTGAGGGGGCGGTGAGGAGGCGAGGTGGGAGCCCCGCGGCGGCGATGACCGGGCTGTGGCGGGGCCGGGAGGCGATGACCGGGCTGTGAAGGGGACCCGCGGCGATGACCGGGCTGTGAAGGGGCCCCGCGGCGATGAACGGGTCGGGGCGGCTGCCGGCCGGGCCCGCGGAGCAGCTGGGCGCGAACGGCAGCGGCCCCGCGGAGCTGCGGGAGGGCACCCACGCCGCCACGCTGGCCGCCTGCGCCTCCCTGCTGGCCCTCGTCTTCTGCCTCGGCTCCTACGGCAACCTCATCGTGCTGCTCTCCTTCTTCGACCCGGCCCTCCGGAAATTCCGCACCGACTTCGACTTCATGATCCTCAACCTCTCCTTCTGCGACCTCTTCATCTGCGGCGTGGCCGCCCCCATGTTCGCCTTCGTGCTGTTCTTCGGCCCGGCCCGCGGCGTGCCCGGCACCTTCTGCTTCACCTTCCACCTCACCAGCTCCGGCTTCATCATCATGTCGCTGAAGACGGTGGCGGTGATCGCGCTGCATCGGCTGCGCATGGTGCTGGGCAAGCACCCGCACCGCGCCGCCTCCGCGCCCTGCTCGCTGCTGCTCACGCTGCTGCTCTGGGCCGCCAGCTTCACCCTGGCCACGCTGGCCACGCTGCGCACCCGCGGCTCCCGCCTCTGCCTGCCCATGGCCAGCCTGCCCAGCGGGCAGGGCAGGCTCATCCTCTACCTCTACCTCACCGACTTCATCTGCTGCGTGGCCGTCGTGTCCGTGTCCTACGCCATGATCGCCCGGGCGCTGCGCAGGAACGCGCGGGCGAGGAGCGGCCCTGCGGCCGCGGGCACGCCCAGGGCCCAGCCCTTCGCGGGGCCCGGCGCCGTGCCCGCTCTGTACAGGACCCAGAGCTGCAGCAAGCCGCCCCACGGCCACGCCAAGCTCGTCGGCCGGCTCCCGCTGGCCGCGGCCGTCAACCTGGCCACGGCCAAGGACTCCAAGGCCGTGGTGACGTGCGTGGTCATCGTGCTCTCCGTCCTGGTGTGCTGCCTGCCGCTGGCCATCTCCTTGGTGCAGGACATGCTGTCCGGCAGCGGTGGCTTTGTGCTCTACCAGTTCGAGCTGTGCGGGTTTACGCTCATTTTTTTCAAGTCGGGATTAAATCCCTTCATATATTCCCGCAACAGCGCGGGGCTGCGGAGACGCATGCTCTGGTGCCTGCAGTACGCGGCCCTGGTCTTTTTCTGCTGCAAGCACAAGACGAGGCTTCGAGCCATGGGCAAAGGCAGCCTGGAGGTCAACAGGAACAAGTCGTCCCACCACGAGACCAACTCGGCCTACATGTTGTCTCCGAAGGCTCAGAAGAAGGGCTTGGAGCAGGCGTGCGGTGCCAGCCACTCCAAGGACAGCGTGCTGAGCCCCAAGGCGTCGGCGGGACAGCAGCAGCAGCAGCAGCACTACGGGCAGAGCAGCTCCACCCCGCTGAACACGCGGGTCGAGCCCTACTACAGCGTGTACAACAGCAGCCCCTCGGCGGAGGGCAGCACCCCGCACAGCCTGCAGCCCGCGGCCTTCGCCTTCGCCAAGGGCTGCGGCGCCGCTCCCGCCAGGCACATCCCGCTGCCCTCCGTGTAGCCTCGGCACCACCAGCCGGTCCAGAGGGGCCTCCGCGGGGAGGAATTGCTGCAAACTCCTCGATGCTGCTGCCAGTGGATAGAAACACCGTTCCCGTTTGCGGTGGAAGCAAGCGCGGGGCTGGCGCCTCCCTGACGCGCTCTGGAGCTGCCGCGGAGAGCCAGCTAGGGGGATATTTGGGATCTGGAATTGCTGCACGAGGGTGGTTTTGTTACTAAGTTTTACTGCTGGGCAAGTAAAAAAAAACTTAGATGCCATGATTGTGTGGTTCATTATGTCATAAGGCCAGGTTGGACAGGGCTCAGTAACCTGGGACAGGGAAAGGTGTCTCTGCCTGTGGCATGGGATGGAACTGGATCATCCTTAAGGTCCCTTCCAACCCAAACCATCCTGTGATAAGGCCAGGTTTTATAAATACCTTGTATTTTCAGGAAGGAAGAACTGGGGAGATGCTTGGTAGCATTTGAGTCTAAAGGGCAAGTAAAAAAAAACTTAGATGCCATGATTGTGTGGTTCATTATGTCATAAGGCCAGGTTGGACAGGGCTCAGTAACCTGGGACAGGGAAAGGTGTCCCTGCCTGTGGCATGGGATGGAACTGGATCATCCTTAAGGTCCCTTCCAACCCAAACCATCCTGTGATAAGGCCAGGTTTTATAAATACCTTGTATTTTCAGGAAGGAAGAACTGGGGAGATGCTTGGTAACATTTGAGTTTAAACTCTTCCTGTTGCAGGAGTTGGAAGAATCAATGTTTTTCAGTAATAACAAAAGTCCTTTATCTTCTTCATAGGGTGAAACCCTGCTTCTGTTGAGGTAAATGGCAAAATTTCTATGAACTCAGCTGAAGTTCAGGCTTTCAGTTTTGGCTTCTTCAAGTGGGACAAGGCTTTGTTCAGTCAGTGTTGTATTTCCACTGGGGAGGGACATTTGGGAAGTGTGGCACTGGGATAAACCTCTGCAGTATATCTATTCATACCTGCTGGGCGTTCATTTTAGTGATGGGGGCATTCTGTATCCCAAAATAATTTGGAGAAGTGTTTTACATCTGATAGAAATTACCATGCACTACCTAATTATTTGCATTACTTGAGGATAAAGATGAATTTTGCAATATGATGTGACTGATAGACCAGGAGGAGCACAGTCACCTCTGGAATTCCCTGACTGGTCAGATGTCAGGCACAGAGTCATGTTGCTGCTTGCTCTTTTGCCCATGACTTTGTATAAATTGGGTTTTGGCTATTCCTGACAGTCAGAACTGACAGCTGTTAACATTTCCAAAACCAGAATGACAAGTTTTTGTGGTTTTGTTAAGTCTAACATCAGTTTGAGTTCATCTGTCTGCTCAGAAATTTTGTCTGTTGGTCTACAAGAGAGCAAATAACAGAAGTTAAGTATTTTTTTATAAATTCACCTCTTTGTGTTGTATCTTACTGTGGTAATTCCCTGGGAGACGGAATAATTCAGGGGTATTTAAATTCCTGACACTTCTTGCTCTAAGTGGCCAGATCTCTTCCAAACAAACAATCACCTTTCAGCTTCTGTGGATTTCAGCAGAGCCTCAGTGTCTCCAGAATAATTGTGCCACAGGCTTTTGATGCCTTGCTATAGCAAAGTGCCACATCTTCAGGAAAATGACAGTGATGGGAACGTGATTTGTTACTTTAGAAACAAAAAATGTCCACATCATTGCTGTCTGTGAGTTGTTGGTTCAGGCTTTTTGTTAACTAAACTGTTCTCAAGATTCTCCTGGAACGCTGTTCTTTGTTTAACACTGAATATTAATTAATTCTGAATAATTCAAACCAGCTTTCTTGCAATAAAATCAGTGTGAACAACTTTCTAATACAAGTGTGAAGTGGAAATTATTTCCATAAATCTTTTCTCTCTGCCCAGATTTTTTTTTCTCTAAATAAATAATGCGGTTCTTTTTAAACTAAGTATAAAAGATAATGGAAAGATCTTGTTCTGTATTTGATTTTCTCTTCAGTACAAATTGTACTGGAGGGTAAAATATACATGAGGCAGTTTTGGAGGTTTGCTGTATGTGCAACTTCTGTGCCATTAGATCACATGAACTTCATCACATGTTTGAAAATTAAACCACTCACACCTCATAAAACATTTGCATTGAGTTTTCATGTGGGAGTAAAGCAAGAAGGGGTCAGGCAGGAGATTTCATTGCCTTTGTGTGACAAAAGAACTGAAATCCCATCAAAGCTGTTTGCAATTTGCTCTCTGGCTCCTGGTGCCAGCTGTGCCCTTAGCACCACCTGTGTAATTAATATTGGTGTTAATCTGCACAGTGTCACAGTGCCAGGTAGGAAAGCACACCACCTTTTAACCTGCAGGAGGAACAAAACCTCATTTAAGTTGCTTTTACAGTTGCAGCTGTATACTAAATAGCTGTTTTGTGGGAGGTTCATGGGTGTGGGAAATCCAGATTGGATTTTGAAAGCAGGTACAACTTTGCAGTGAATCATTGACTGAAATAATCAAATTTTTGATAAAGTAATTGGTTTAGACTCTTTTTGGAGTGTAACTTCTTTTTTTTTTCCCTTAGTCTCTTCCATCAGAAGCCTGCTGAGCACAGAACCAGTAAAGCTCCACTAAAGCACCAGTAAAGAGTCACTGCAAGGTTAACAAGCAGCAGTGGAAGTGAGAGGGAAGCAGCAGAATGTGGAGGTGGGAAATATGTGGGAAGAGAGGAAGTGAGAAATGTGACCACTGAGTGGTTTAGAAAGAGGAAAGCATAAAGGTTATTAGAAAAACCAGTGATTAATTACTTGTGGCTCATTAATATAATTAACAAATGACTTCTGGTTGCTTAAGTGAACAAAAATATTTGTAATATTTTTATAATTCACAGTCTTTTTAAGCTCTAGATCTCTGTCGTGAAGAGTTGGCTTTTTCAGCTGCTGGCCTGCAGGACTGTGGGTTTTATCCTAACATACAAAACCTCAAAGCTGATGATGCCAAATCATTTTGCTGAGGAAAGGTGGGTTTGCACTGAGTTCCAAGGGATCTCTGTCAATGGAGATGTCTGTTGCATGTTCCCCCTTTTTGGCAGCAAATAGGTTGGTATTGCTCTTGTTTTGTCACAGCAGAGCCAATTCCTTTTCAGAGTCTGTGTTCCAAACATTCTGCATTCCTGGACTGGGGATTTTCTACTGGGAAGTTGTTTGTGGTTGCTCATCATAGGAGCAAGTCCAAATCGTGCTAAACCAAATAATTTGTCCTTACCTGGTGTTTGTTTTCTGTCAACAGTCTGTTGATTTCCCTTGAATGTGAAAGTTGGATCAGCTGAATTTCTTTTGTTTTTTCCCAAGCACAACAAATAAAATTATCAAGTGGCACTAGGTGAGGACAAGGACCATGCAGAGGTATGGCTGAATCCATTGGAAATGGGTCAGGCTGTGTGAGGTGGAACTTTCCTAAATTTAAACAATAATGTACAGAACTTGCTTATTCCCCAGAGATCTGTGATTAAACAAAGCTCACCCCAGTCATTTAACAGCAGAGACCACCACACTCAGCTGGTCCTTTTTGTACTGTCTGGTTGTATATTTTATTCTGAATTTACAAAAGATTTTCAAGTCTCATCTCTTCCAGCAGTTACTGAACCCAAAGTCTGTAACAGAGTGGGCTTAGCCTCTCTCAGAGGGCTAAATTAAGTCAATCTTTACTCCTCCCTTGCCCAAGCACAGAAAGCAGCTGCTCCCTGTGTACCAGCATGGTTTGGGGCTCTCTTACCTGCACACAGGACGTGTTCCCACCTCAGCTCTCCCAGAAGTGGGAATCTGTAGTCTAAGACACTGCTTCTCACTGCCACCACCTCAGGAAGGCAGCAAGGACATGCAGCGTGACTTGAGCAGTTCTTCCTTGCAGATGACACCCACAGCATTTAAAGAAATGCTGGGAATAGCTGGACAAATTGAAGCATCCAGGAGGAAAAGGCTTCTTATCAGTGCTCGGGTCTCTTCCCTTCAGGATGCTTTATCAGAGGGAATAACGAGCGTGCTGCAGTCCCCCTAGGAGCCTCTCCTGGGACTGATGCAGACAAACCCCTGGGCATCACAGCAGCTTTTGCAGGAGGTAAATGCTTTTATCTGACTACAGGTTTTCCAGGCACAGCCCTCAGAGTTCCCTGGGTCTCATTCCAGCTCCTGCATTTCCAGAGCAGATCCGTTCTCCGCTCTCACGAGCGGCTCGTTGGTTGTTTTTAGGACAGCTTTTAGCTGATGCCAGAACATTTTCTGCTTGTGTTCCTCAAGGCTCCACTTCAAGTAAGTTTTCCTTCTCAGCAGTTTCCTGAGTTTGCTGAATTTCTGTGGGATGCTGTGGGGTGGGAGATCTTCCAGCACGATCATGATGAGGGAATCCAGGTTTTCATTCAGGACCCGGTGTTCGGCAAAATACAGCTCGTACTGGCACCAGCAGCTGTTCACAAAGCTGGGAGAAAGAACAAAAAGCACTTTATGGCTGTTCTCTATGCAGTAAAAAATGTTCCCAAGCACAGGATGCCCTGGCTTGAAATCCCTCTCATGGTAACATATCCTGAACCCATCATTTTCCAGTTTTTCCAGCAGGTTCTCTTTGGTCCACTCGGCGTCGTGCTCGCTGTATGAGATGAAGGCGTCGAAGAGTTTGTCTTCTGGCCGCTTCTCATACTGCTTCCTCTTGGCCATGCACCAGTACCAGCCCATCCTGATGTACCAGGGCCCGTCCAGTCTCCAGCAGAGGACGGTGAGGGCCAGCACGGCCAGGCTGGCAGCAGCAGCAGTCACGGCCAGCTGGACACCCAGGGAGCAGTGCAGCAGCGTCAGGCGGCTGCCGCCCACCGGGGAGCCCCGCCGCTCCGGGGGGAAGCTGCACCTCATGGCCCCCCTGCCCCTGATCTCCAGCTGGGGCTCGTGGAGGTAGATGTTCACGAACCAGTACAGGTCACAGGTACAGAAAAAATGCTCCCCTTGGGCAGTCAGAAGCCTGAGGCTCGTCAGCGGGCCGAACGTGGCCTCCACAATGGTGGTGATGGCATTGTCACTGATGTCCAGCTCGACCAGAGAAGCTGGGAGAGAGCCACGCTGCAGAAAGGAGATCTTATTCCCTGACAGGTTAAAGTACTTCAGCCCTGGGAGGGATGCCCCGAAGCCATCGGGCAGTTCTGGGAGCAGGTTGTGGCTGCTGTCCAGGCTGGTCAGTGCAGGAAGGCGGCCGGCAGGCTCCAGACGCGTGATCAGGTTCCCAGAAACGTTGAGGTGTTCCAGCTTCTCCAGGGCAGAACTTAAGGACAACACCTTCACCTTGTTTTTACTAAGATCACATTTTTTTAAGGCTGATGGAAAAAACTCCGTGTGTATACCCATAATTTTGTTATTTTGAATCCTAAATACTGTTAAGTTGGAGAGGGATTTCAGACTGGGGGAGATGACTTTGATGTCGTTGTTGCTGATGTCTAAATGCTGCAGGGAGGGGGGGAAATTGGGAAGTACAGAAATGTGGTTGCTGCTGAGGTCCAGAAATAACAGTTCTTCCACTGTGTCAGCAAACCACTCCGGCAGTTCCACAATGGAGCAGTTGGACATTCCCAGGTGTTTCACTTTCTCTGGAAGGCTTTCAATGGGTGTCCCAACCTGTTTCCTGACAAAGGAGATGGCGTTGATGTGCACAGTTCCAGGGGGAGGGACACACATTGGAAGTGTATCCCCACTTTCTGAGAACGCTGTGTAGATGAAGTGGTTTCCTTGAACATACATTTTTTCCAAGTTAAGCAATTTTTTAGCAAAATTCGGGGGTATTTGGCTGATGTTGGTGAAGGACAAATCAATTTCCTTGATGCTGGAAGGGAGGCACAGCGTATCCAGGTTGTTAATGGGGTTGTTGCTGATGTTTAGGAACAAAAGCTGGTGGGATGGGAACTCACAGAAGGACTGAGCATCCAGGATGTTAATGGTTAACTTGTTGGAGCTGGCATCAATGGACAGCGTGTTTTCCATGTGGAAGAACAGGGCAAACAGTGACAGAAGATCCATTTCCACGTTGTTGTGACTGATGTCAAGCTCCAAAATCTTGTCCAGCTGGGCTTGGCAGAGATCCTCATCCAGTTTTAACATCAGCTCGTCCTGGGTGAGGTTGCTGTGGGACAGGTTGAGTGTCCCGTTGATGGGAGTTCCACAGAGGGTGGGCTCAGGTGAGGCTGTGGGAAGGGCTGTTGTGTTCCTCTCTCCCTTCCGAAGAAGATTCCCTGGGCTTCTCCTGAGCCTGGGGCTGAGGATTTGCAGGAGAGACAGAACTCCAGAACGTGACAGCTCCTCTGCAGGAGCAGAGGGCTCCAGAGCAGCCCCTGAGGATCTGCCAGAATTCCTGGAAAGCTGCAAAGACCTCGGAGCTTTGCCAGCAGGTGAGAGCTTCAGGTGGGGTGGGAGATCTGACAGAAGCAGCTTCTCATCATTAAATGATAAATCCACAGAAACCAGGCTGAGCAGACTCAGGAATGCTCCAGGCTCAACAGCCCTGATCCGATTGTAGGAAAAGTCCAGACCTTCCAGCCAGTCAAATCCTTCCAAGTCTCCCTTGGTAATATTTTCAATGACATTGTGTGAGAAATTGAGAGCTCTTGCTGTTTTTGGAGCTCGTGCTTCTGAGACAGAGGAGAGATTTGAATAGGAGTAGTCATAAACCAGGAAGGCTGGAGGTGTTCTCGACATTAGGAATCCTTGGGCCTGGCTGAGTAAGAAAGGAATGAAGTAGAAATGAAGGCAGCCAAGAAGGATTCTCATCCTGGACAAAAGAAATGTTAAATCCATCATTATAATATGTTAATGAATACCCTTAAAAATAATCCAAATTTGCTTGAAGTCCAGAAATTGTTTAATTAGTTGTATCCATTAATCCCTTTTATCCAGCAAAATAAAACACATCTTACTTCAGAGTAAGAGTGAAAGAGTGTAAGAGAATGATTTGAAGGAGAGCACTATTCATTGGAGGTCCTGCTAGATAAAGTCTGAGTTTGTCTTTCTTTTCTTTCCCATCCTCCCCCTGCAAAATTTGTGTCTTATGTTGGAAATGCAAGATGTGGCCAGGGCTGTGTGCTCTATTGCCATCTGTCAGAGGTGGGGCAGTTATCCTCTGTTCATTGGGCAGTTTTCTTTATCTCTTCCACAACCAATCCTCCCTCCAGGAAGATCTCTTCTGGTAATGGGGCAGTGAGTGTCACTGCATGGCTGATAAAATTACATCATCCCATTGGGAGATGCTCCACCCAGAGGGAGGAGCCAAACATTCCTAACTGGCTATAATCTGAGCTTTGGAACACCATAGGCAGCCTTTTCCCACTGGATTCCTAGAGGAGGAGCTTTCTTCTCCACTGCATTCCCAGAGGAAGACCAGGCCCATCTACACCACCCCTGGATCTTCAGAGGAAAACTTCACCCTTCTCCAGGATCCCTGCTCCAACAGAACCACAGCTGGCACTGCAGGAGGGCTGCAGCCATCATTTCAATTGCAATGACTTCCTCAACACCCTGACCCACAGGGTGTCAGATCCTACTCTGACTCTGTCAGTGTTGTTTTGTATTACTGCATTTTTATTTTTCCTAATAACTGTTATTCCCACTCCCATATCTTCATCCGAGAGCCCCTTAATTTCAAAATTAGAATAATTTGGAGGAAGGGAGTTTGCGTTTTCCATTTTAAGAGAGGCTCCTGCCTTCCTTAGCAGACACCTGTATTTTCAAACCAAGACAATTAGAAATGCCCTTCATGGCTCCATGGGACTCAGGTTTTATGTCTCCTGTCCCAGTGCACAACAACCAAGTCAGTCTGAACCCCTCCAGAACCTGCTCTGCCACCCCAGGACGCCCCAGGGAGCTCCACATAATTGTGTGACCACAGATCTGAGCCCAGCCCCTGGAGCTTTGCTCTGCCCTGGATTTACCAGTGACCATTTGTTTGGCCTTACCTGTAGGAGTAAATTTTCTTGGGAGCAGGATATGGGAGGCAGCCAGGCCAGGTCTCTGCCCCAGTGCCCCACAGCATTCCCAGTGCTGGGAATGTCACTGTCCCAGCTCTCTGTCACGAGTCCCTGACGCCGCTGCTCCGAGGTGTTCCCCGCAAAGGCAGGTGAGTAACCTGTGTCACCACTGTCCCCTTTGCTGCCCACTGTTACTGCAAGGGCATCCCTCGACGAAGGGGAGAGAATGGTGCATCTGACTCCATCTTATTAGAAGGCTAATTAGTTACTTTATTATATTATACTAAATATTTCATCTAAACTGAATCTGCCAAGCACTCACTCTGCACGTAACTGCACTCATCTCCTGACCTTCTCGTGACTGGCAGCTGACAGTCCAACACACACACACACACACACACACACACACACACACACTCTTGGCCCTAATAGGCCAAGGAAACAAAACATCCTCGCTCTGGGTAAACAAACTCTTTATTCCACTTTGGCACAACACAGCAAATGATGAGAGCTGTGTTTTCCCTTTCTCTGGGGTTCAGAGAATGTGAATCTCACAAATATTCTTGGGAAGAATTGTGCCTTGCTTTTCTCTGTGGAGAGAAATGTGGCAACAGCCCACCAGGTTTAACTGAAGGGAAGGGACACCAGTGACTTCCCAGCTCTGTCCCCCCCTGCCAGCAGTTCCCCCACCCCGCATCCCTCAGGAACCCCCGGGGTCTGAAAAGCATCGCCAATTTATCGCAGAGCTCTCTCCTCGCTTCCAGCCGCCCTCCCATCCCTGTGACCCCTGTACCTGCTCTCCTGGGCGCTCCTCCCTCCCTGTCCGCTGCCCCGGGTGCCTTTTGTGGAGCTGGGAGCGGAGCGGGCACCCCGGGACCGCCCAGCCTGGCCCCTGCCCCTGCCCGGGCAGGAGGAGGAGGAGGTGCCGGAGATGATGCTCCCCTGCAAGTTTTCCCCTTCTCGCCGCTCTCAGGCGTTGCCCAACCCTTGCCCCAGGGGGAAATAAAAGGTGGAAGTTGCTCGTTTAATGCATCACAGCGTCGTGCCGAGGGTTTGCCTCGGCCTCAGCATCACAGGTGGGGGCAAAATGAGAAACCGCGTTCAGCGAGGAGGGCATGGGGTGGACAGAATCCAGCAGGGACAGACTGCAGGCATGCTGAGGGAGCCTGGAGGAACGCAGAGTAAAGAATGGAGCAACACTCTGGTGCTGTGGTCATGCTTTGTCAAAAACAACACTGCTAAGGGGAACAGAGCCAGAGGAATGATCCAGACAAAGCTGTGTCCGGCTTCGTTAACTCAGAAATTCAGGTTACTTGTGCTGTTAGCCCATGCTGATGACCAAAGTCACTCAAACTCCTCATAGCCATTAAGTTACATCAACTGTAACTTCGCCTTTGCCTCTCCCTCAAAGAAAATAATGTGAAACCAGCTTGAGTGGAGAGGGAGGTCAGAGGAGAGGCCATCACACATCCTGGGGTCAGGTGATGCCCCACAGGGACACCTGGGTGAGAACCTTACTCTAAATTATTACCTGGAGTTTTCACTGGGGTCAGAGCTTGCCTTTACATTGCTTCCAATTGTGGTTTTTTCCACTCTTTTGCAACCAGCAGTGACTGGAAACTCACAGCATCCCAAGGTCCCTGTGTCCAGCCCTGGGGGCTGGAAAACCCAAGGTGGTTTGTGTGCTGTCTGTCTGGTCTCACCGGGCACTTCCCTGCTGCGGCAGGTTCTGGGAATTGCCCCACAGTCATCCCTTCTTCAGACAGATCCCAACCTGCTTTGATAAAAGGGACAGGAAATTGATGAGTTGGGATGTCAGGGAAAATTTTGCTTCTGCTGTCAGTGTGGGGTGACTCCCTGTAGCTGGACAATTCTCCTCCTGAACACAGCGGTGCTGCTCGTGAGCCTTGGGCTGTGCTTTGCTTTGGGAAGGTGGGACAGCTGCATCCTAGCACAGGGGCCACCAAAATCCCAGAGACTCAATCATGGTTGGAAGGGACAGAGTTAAAAAGGCAGCTTTTTGGTACTAGCACAGTTATTCCACCAACTCTCTGTGCTGGAATTATTCTGTCATTTTTTTTGTCCAACACCCTATTTTATTTTTTTTTTAAGCAACCCCTTATTTTGGGAATTGAGGGAAGAGCAGGACACAAGAAAGGTCTGAGTGAGCAAGGAAGGTCCACACCATGTGGCCAAGAGCAGGACCAGTGAATTAATTCCCAAAACAGATCACATGCCACTTGTTCTGTCTCTGCAGGGAAAGGTTTTTTGTGCACTGGAAATATTAATGGAGGAGAACTGAACCTACACAGGAGCTGCTCAAATCCAAAGAGGATCAGCACCAGCTTTTAGGAGGCCAGACCTCACAGGAGCTTTTCTCATTAAGGTGTGCTTGGATTTAGGTGCTGGATAAAAATAACAGGTAATTATGACCTGGAAATGCACTTGTCTGTGTGAAACAGCTCTACCTCCTCAAGGTGTAGGAGCAAATCTAAGCCAGCTGTTGGTCAGGAGGGGATGGGAGAGGAGGGGGAGAAAAGCTTGTTTCTTTTGGATGTGGATGTGGGTGCTGGAGCAGCCCAGATTCCAGGCAGGAATAGCTGTGAGCATGGAGCTTCCTGTGCAAGGGGAAGTTGAGACTGAGGAAACCCTTGAGTCGAACCTTGAGTCGAGGATTTGCCAAGAGCCTGTTTGGTCACATCATGGCAAAAGCTGCTGCTGGGGGGCACCAGGTGCTGTGACTTCTGAGTCAGGGATGTGCTTCCCCCTCCTCCAGGGAGTTCCCCCCAACGAGGGGAATTCTGACCTTCTATGAAATAATTATTCTTGGCTTGCCCTCTGATCTAATCACCACAAGGAGGGACATGCAGGAAGAGTGACTGTGTTGTGTTCCCTTCCCTGGCACAGCCTGAGGCTGCCCAGAGCTGGGTGGCTCCAGCCTTTCATCAGGGCAGCCTTGATCCAGTATAAAACCACCCCAAGGGATTGTGCAGCTCGGAGCCATAACGAGGGGATCCAGCCAGCCCCTTGTGCAGGCAGCAGAAGGTGAAATGCTTCCATCTTTTCTTGCACTGTGCTGGCTGCTGATGCCTCTGGCAGGCAGGAAGGCTGGGAATGGGGGAATCTGGGTACAAGAGTGTTCCATGGGGAAATAATCTATGTAAAAGACTCTTCCCCCTTTCCAGCTCCCTCTGCCACCTCGCCGAGTCTGAGAAATCAGGATATGAGCAAAAGCAGTGAGAATCAATTTAAATGCCAAATCACACTGCTGCTGTTTGGGTTTTCTGCTTGATGAGACTAAAACAGGTTCTGTTGCAACAGTCCAGCAGCTCAGGGGAGTATTTTGGGCATTATTTGCCCACTCATCTGCCACGAGGCTGGCAGGTTCCTGCCCTGCAGCCGTCAGAAATTCCTGTGCCTTGCACAAGGGCTGCAGAAAGGAGAAGTGTGGTGGGCACAGGGAAGTGACCAACCCGCTCCGACCGGACACTGTTGCTACAGCCCCAGACGTTCAAGGCTCTGCTGGGTGTTGGCCACTACAAACTTTTTCAAAAATATAATGTAAATCTACTTCAGATCCTCCTGTCAGCAGTATTTCAACTTATCTGGTCCCTCCCAATTTACTTCTAGGAATGTCTAGTGCCAGCAGATAAAAACTTCCCAAATGTTCTTGGCGAGGCAGACACACTACAGGGAAACTGGACCTGGTGGCAGGAAGGATGTTCAGCAAAATAATTGTCCCTATGACAGTCTTAAATGTAAACAAATAAACTGAATGTCCTGGGAAGCAGCCCAGAAATAGCAGCTGAAGAGGGGTGAGGTACAGTGACAGGAGAATACAATTCCCAGCAGTTACAGTGAGGTAGCACTGGTGTTGGGAGAAAGCAGAACAGTAGGAAAACCATGAGTGGTGCTGTGGCTCCTGAGCAGGAAATGTTGGCTTCACCTTTTCCTTCTTTTGCAGCTGAACTCCTCCCTTGAAGCTTCAGTTGTTTTTGTGCCTTTTCTGAGTTGAGTTTACACCTCAGCAATGGCATCAACGAGAGGGGAACGTGCCACACATGAGCCAGGCAGGAAGTGCAAGACAAGGTTTTAATCATTAAAAGTTTATCAATAAGCTCTTATATACACATAGTTATACACAAAGTGGTTCACGAGTCCCTCAGCTTGGAGAGCTGTGCTGGTGAGGCCTTTGTCAGCTCACAGACACTGTTCCCATGGGAATGCCAGCATTTGGCCTTGGGGGCTTTGCTGTCCTCAGCTGGGCACCGAGAGGAGCCCGTATTCATCTGCTGTATCCAGGATTTTACAGATGACTGGAGACTCCACCTGCAACAGAGACCAAACCATGAACTCAGCCCTGCAGGAATCCTGGGAACAGTCACTGGGAGAAAGGGACCACGTTAAACATAATCCTGGAGATGTGCTCTACTACTAGCCCTGACCTCAGGGCGTGTCTGTACATACCCCAAGGATGTATTGGCAAGAATGAGGCTCCAGCATGTAAATGGTCACAGCGTGAGGGGAGTCTGATTCTTTACATCTGAAAACAGAGGAGAAATTGGGGGGTTGGTAGGCAATAAGCACACAGTAACATGTATTTCACTGCTGTCTGCAGCATTTTATTAACAGAACAGTACTGCCTTCTGAGCCTTGTGACAACAGCAGCAGCTTTCCCCTCTGACCCAGGGAACAGACAGAAAACATCACTTTGTAAAAGTCCACTTACTTCAATTTCACAGTCACCTGCCTTGGCTTGTCTGTCAAGTCACAAACATCTCCATTTCCATAGAAATGAGACACCATCCTGCCACAAAAGATCAGAATGGAAGAGTTGGTATGGAAGTATCAAACACAATTTTAGAGCAGTCAGTTCACCGGTGCGATCCAGCACCTTGTCATTGATCAAGTATTTAATATACTAACAAACAGCAACAAGTATACTATTATACTATACTATATATTATTATACTATACTACTGTTCTATATAGCTATTATACTATTATATAACAAATTGCAGTTACTGCAGAGGGAAAGAGTTGTTCAGTATTGAAAGATTATTCTGTGCCACATCCGAAGCACTGAATTCCTTATTTGTGATAATTCCTTATTTGTGATGTTGACTGGGGGGGTAAATGTGAACATGCTGCTCTTGG